CAAACCCGAGCCCAAGCCAGAGCCGATGCCAAAGCCGGAACCAAAGCCCGAGCCCAAGCCCGAGCCAATGCCGAAGCCAGAACCGAAGCCAGAGCCCAAGCCTGAGCCGATGCCAAAGCCAGAGCCTAAGCCCAAACCATTGCCTAAACCAGAGCCTAAGCCTGAACCTATGCCTAAGCCAGAGCCCAAGCCTGAGCCCGAACCGAAGCCGGAGCCGCCTCCGAAGGGCAAGCCACCGATGACTGACAATTGATGTGATACTCACATATGACAGCTGAAGGAGGAGATCGACCCCGTCCGGAGCCACGATGTGCTATTTCTAGAATAAGTGGCATAGTATCCGGTTAGCGAGATAGTGATGATGCATCTTTTTGTATTCCTTGTATTCCACCATTCCTTTTAGTTTCTGTTGTTCCATGCACCCATGATGAGTACTACTATTCTGTAATTATCATTTGCGTGTTGGTATATGTTCATCTGTGCACATGACTCAGTTGTTCTTTCGTGTAGATACACATGCTTTTATTCGTTTGCATGAAAGACACATTTTGTCCAGCAGACTGCATTCTATGTTGTTTTCCTTTTGATTTATTTCGCCTCGTGGGTGCACCCTGGACATGCCCCTATTCCTCCACTGGACCGTCTCGAGCGTGTGTTTTTCAAACACGAGCCCGTAAATGCTTGTGTGGTTTCTAGTTAAATTCACCACCCAGCAACAGGTGATGGCAAAAAATGTGCAAAATTTACCTATAAAAATAGAGATGTGCAGAATTCCCCTAGAATCCTCTCTTTGTCCTCAGTAAGCACTGTATTTTCAGGATTCTAATGTGCGTACCCACCAGCAAACCTCCCACTCCCAGCTAACATCTACAGCATGCCCAACGCCATACTAAATCCCGCTTTCCACACAAATTATCTTCTTTTTTCTCAAATACTAAAATATATCTGCAGTTCCACACGATCCCCTACCTAGATGACACTTCTTTTTTGCCTTTTATCCTTTTTTTTCTAGCCAGTATAGTACTGCTTAGATTTCACCATGACAAGCGCATTTTTCAGAGTGATTCACGCACACAATATATAACCACAATGGTTCACGGAGACGACATATAACCACAATGTACAGATAGCCATGTTTACACGGTCTACAATATAGCACATGAGATCAGTACTCTTGGACGGTTCAACACAAAACAGAGTCTTAAGCAACGAAACAGAGTCTCAGTCTCTCCAGAGAATAACAGGCACGCATACCTTGGACTGGACATAGGAAAAGAGAATAACAGGCAGGCATGCATACCCTGGACTGGACATAGCAACGAAACAGCGCCTCAATCACTCCAGGAACGTCTCATTCCAAATGGGTGAAGGCACTCCAGCCCCCTGGTGCGAGGAGGATTCCTCGCCGTCTCTTGGGCTTCCCTGCGACGAAAAATATTTTTGGGGTAAGCAATGGGCGGGCGAGACTTCTATATGGCTCTTTTTTTTCGGCCTTTTTCACTGTTCTGATCTTATGAGGAAACTTTAGCACAAAATGAACTTCACACAAAACAATTTCACGATCTGACCCTTTTCAGAAACGCCAAAGACCGTGACGTTGCTGCACTATATGAAAACGCCGAACTAGCTAGCGTTATTGGCCTGATCGAGACGCTACGTAGCAGGGCTGAAACGCCAAAGTTTGTAACGTTGCTGGAAACGCCAATGGGGTGGGCGTTGCTGCACAAGCATGCAACGCCAAGGGTTGTTGGCGTTTCAACTAGTTTTTCACATTTTTCATTTATTTATGAAGTGAAGCAACGCTAGCTAGTTCGGCGTTTTCAAATAGAGAAGAAACGCCACGGCTTGTGGCGTTACCAAAAGGGTCAGATTGTGAAATAGTTTTGTGTGGAGTTCATTTTGTGCTAAAGTTTTCTGAAAGGGTCAAAATAGTGAAAAGAGCCTTTTTTTTCCAGAGATTGAACAGAACAAAGGCATGCACAGGGCACCAGGACAAGGTGCTCTCTTTCTTTCCATGGATTTGAGAACCAGAGCTGTAGCTCCAAACTCACTCTTAATAGATCTTAAATCATTAAATCCGCATGATGCCCGAGTTTAGACCATCAAGACACAGAAAACACTTGCACTCCAGAAGGACTTCGATCTACGTACCACCTCTGTTTCTAAATATAAGACGTTTTGGCAGTTTAAATTGAACTGCGAAAACGTCTTATATTCAGGAACAGAGGGAGCATATAAGAAATAGTTCGTCCTTTTAGGGGACCAATCAAGCAGGTGGGACTGCACAAGATTCCTCGCAACATGGAGACATGGAACACACAATTACCTTAAAGCGTTTGCCATATCCGCATTTGTAGGGTCCAGTTTCAAGCCAGCTTCGAACGTCTGAGCTGCTTTTCCATAGTCCTGTGAGTAGACACCAGAAGATTATCAATTTCATCATGGTCACGAAAGAATAGCCGTAACAAATTTATTCTGTTTTACCTGTAGCAACATAAAGGCTGCTCCTAGTCGATAGTAACCTTTGGGCCAAAGAGGTCGTAGCACTGTGCACCTAGCAGAGTCGGAGAGAGCCTCTTTTCCTATTCCCGCGTGCAACATACAGAAACTCCTATGTGCTAGCAGGTTTGCAAGACCTTTTGGACTAGGCTGAAAACTCATTGCCTACAGTAGACCAATCACATGCAGATTTTGTTACAAGGTAGTAGTTTGCATAACACAGTAACAACATTTTCACTGACCCCACCAACATTTCCGATAATCCAGATCGAGACAGAGAGAAACCATTCACTTTTATGAAATCAGTATAACATTTCTGACAGAATTTTCACGAAAGATACATGGAAAATGATGCTGATTTTTTATGAATTAATATAGATAACTCCGGAATTTTAAATACCTTTGAATGTTCACATGGTTCCTCTAACTAAAACATAAGCAGTTCAACTCCAAAGCAGGGTTTGTGTGTGTGTGTGTGTGTGTGTGGCAATAGCAACTGCGAGCATAATCCAGACTGAATTTTGAGGACAAACAGTGCAAAACAACTGTTATAATAGCATGCAGCTGTAGTTCTAGATACTGTGGTTCTAGATACCCTTTGTTTTAGATACAGTGCAAAACACAGACTGCCCTTTGTTTTAGATACTGTGGTTCTAGTCTAGCTGCAGCTTAAACAGTTAGATTAGGACACTGAACAGTTTGACAGGGATTGAACCTTTTGGGCGTGTTCAAAATGTGAAGTGTCTTGCTAGATAACAATGACAAGCACATGTTTAATTGACACCGTAACTATCATAATCATCTAGGCTCAGTGACTCACACAAGTATATAGGTCTCCTGCTATGATATATTCCTTTCTCTTAAAAGCCTCTGTAGCTTGCAACTTTAGTTCAGCTCTTTTCGCTTCACATAGATGTATATCCTGATCAAAAAATATTTTTGGTCAAGACATATATACAGCACAAACACAGAAAAGAAGCTTCACTTAGAATCTTAGTTGACCCTAACAATGACATTAAAACTTTCTCAAATGTGGGGCGCTTATAAAAAGGGCAGCCCGGTGCATGTAGCTCCCGCTTGCGCAGGGTCTGGGTATGCATAACATTTTTCTGTTATTATAAATATCAATAGAAATCATGACTGCAGGAGCAGAGCAACAGAAGAATGGAAGACGACTAGCCATTGTACATAATATTATGGAACTGTAAGTGAGCGGAAAAGGAACTACATACCCTCGGCTTCAAACCGAAAGATTGCACATGAGAAATAATTCCATCAACACTCCAATCCGGCAATCTTGAAATGGGAGAAGTTAAAGGAAATAACATCGCAACCATATCCCATCTGGCTTGGAGGGCGGCAATTTCGATTGGAGTTGTACCAAACTGCAGGAGTAAATGAGATGGCTGATTTCATGTTCGATCATCATTAATACAAGATGGACTATACTAGCAGAGCATTTCAACATTGATAGTTACAATTCCAAGTCTACAATTTCAACCAAATGGCTAGATGGGCTTTGAGCAAATCAAAACGCGGGAACAAACAATGGAATAGTCTTGTCCATACCTCTCCACTAAATTCGGGAAATAAAGCTAAGATTAAATCCTATAAAAATATTAATTCTAATCCCAGACTAATATGTTTCTTATACTGCATTAGTTTGTCAAAGCAGAATAGAGAGAGAATGTGCCATCGACACAATAGAAGAATAAGTCTTTGAAAGCATCCTGTGTCTATTTGACCAGGCAATGAAGAAAACTGGAGAATTTCTCCATTGACAATAAATAAATTCATGAAAGTCCTGCAAGGTACTCCGCTGCCTCCGCAAAGAGATAATTGCACAGGATGGTGATTTACAAAGAATTCCTCCTAAAAACAAGGGGAAAAAAGAGCAGAAAAGCCTATGCCCGTCTTCCTTGGGCAGCAATTGGTAAGTTCAACACCTGGGAAGAACTGCAGCCGATATGTGCTGACCAAGGCGGTGCAAAATGTTAAGATATGGTGATCTGCTCCATTGATATTACACAGTAAACATGTTGGTAGGAATACTTTTCCCATGTTCTCAGTAGATCATGCATCACGTAGTAACAGATATGATTTACCAAAACAATGTGTTTCCTCAATCCTCATGCATGAATAAAATATTCCCAGCAGCATGGGTACAGTTGATGTAAAAGAAGCGGCTGAGCACATACTAAGAATACTAGGCCTGTAAGGGATTCATTTTTCTGGGTTTTTTGAACTTTTTTTTAGCACGGTTGTTGGGGTGACGCGTGTCCAGCAGTTTTCCTGGGTGCAGTAAAAAAATCTTGGTTGGATGGTTTTAGCACGTTTGATTTGACGTGGTGATTGCCAAAGTCAGATGACCTTGTCTATTGACGCGTGTGCATGAAATTCTACCGGAGAGTTCCTCTATATTATTTTACTTGTCTTTTGATATTACGTGGCAGTGGCCTATTTAGACGGGTGGATGTGGAGGCGTCTAGAGCTGTCTCTCTGGACCTCTCGAGAGGCATCCCATCAAAACTGCTTCCGATGTAGACGACTATAAAATGCCCCCGTTCATCTCCCAGATCGCGGCTCCCACAACCATCCTTCCCGTTCTCTGCCAGGCCCGACTGCCGGCATCCAAATCCTCTCGGAGCGACGGCTTCGCATCTACCCTCCCCGGGCCAAGGTGGTGGCGCACGTAGCCATCGCACCTCCTTCCACTTCGGCTGCACCACCCCCTCTTCACATACACCCTGTCCTAGCCGGCTGCACAAGGGAGGCGACCGGGCACCTCCCAGAGGAAGACGAGACGGGCGACCACCAGGACAGCCAACCCACGGTGCTGGATGGCGGAGAGGGACGATGGTGACGCCGCTCGGCGAAGAGGTGGCGATGGAAGGGGCATTTGTGGTGGTCGGTCGCGGACGGCATGGTCATGGAACGGCGACTGGCCAGACGAGCGGTGGCGGCACCAGGCGGTGGGGCTCGCGGGGAGGACACGACCGCGTCAAGTTGGTGCTCGCCAGCATCCTCACGGATGGGTTGCTGTCCGCTGCGTCCGTGAAGCCAAGACTGAGAGTGTGCAGCGCCGTCCTCGGTACATCCCGGCGACCGCCACCCCAGCAAGCTGTGTCACCGCCACGCATCCCCCGTGCCCCGAGTGATGGCGTTTCACCTGATGTTTCTCCCCACGGAAGCGCAGAAGGGAACCGACGCGTCATCTGCCAGTACGGGCGAGCGAGAGGATGATGCTGACGGATCTGCTCTCTTTTTTCCGGCGTTGCTCTCAGTTTGGTCCTAGGCGGTGCCCTTCCGCCTTCCTCGGCAAGCCTGCAGCGCCAGCTTCCAACTTGGTGGCGGCGGTGGACGAGCCCACTACCCACGGCCTTCTGTCCTCCGGAGGCGAGCCAACAGCGAGCTGCTGCAGTGTTTCGCCCCTCCTTTCCCCACGAGCTCTCGACTCCTCCTCTGTCACTCACGCGGCAAGCAGCGAGCTAGCAACTCTCAGGCGGTAGCTCTCCAGTTGGTCGTCACTTTGTTGGCAGTAGCAACACCACTAAGGTATGCTCCTCTTTTTGTTCTTTTTCACATCCACTGTTCAAATCTATATAACTACACACACCATAATTATTACTAGATTAGATGATAGTTTGTATTATCTAGACTTCTGTTTTTACTGATGTAAGGGAAAAAACATGTGGGAGGTTTTTTTGCTCTTGGTTTGATATGTCGTTGCAGAAAGGTTTTGTTTTACAAGGAGATGAACTGTCATTGCTTACAAGTTCAGATCAGAAAGGTGGGTGCATATAGTACAGAAAATTGTATACCTAACTGATTATTAGTGTAAACGGAAGGTTTACCAGGTATGTGTGCAAGTCTGTGGGGAGGACATGGATTTTGAGATCCAGCTCCTGCCCGTATGTGCAAGAAATTCATGACCTACATCTCTAATATAGCATGGTAAATCGTTTTTATTCTTGATCTATCCATTACGTTGTGTTCCATTTCCTGGTAGGAATTCTGTTTTAATTTCGCATGCTGTTCAAACACATAAGCACTTGATGTGCATTACTGACGTACTGAGGAAATGCTACAGCTTGATGTCTATGTACATTTGGAACTTTAGTTCTGACGAGATGTGTCTTGTGGAGTATATTGGCTTCCAGTACAACTGAGCATGATTTATTGGCAATATACTGCTGCACTACATTATTCCCGAGTCAAGCATAACATTTTGGGCATAACTTTACATGCAGTGCAATTTGGCAACAGATGAGAAATTCCTTCTTATTCCAGAACCACTTAAATTTCCCCCGTACCTATTTCCCCATTTGATCTTTGTAGGAGATATTGGCACAATGACTTTATGTTTTTAGCAGTATTGTTTGTATTTCCTTTTGCAAGAAATGCTTTAGAAATTGGACTGTAGCAGTTTGGTCTCTTGAGCTCACAAGATCTGTTCTTACTAACAGAGCTGCTTACAAACGTACCGGTCATTAATTACCAATTAATGGTTGCATAATCTGACTGCTTTCTCTCCTATGGATCATGCTTACAGTTGAGTATCCACTGATTCCTAAATGCTTGAACTGGCTATACATCTCCTTTTGTAAATCATTCTAGCTCCTGATTACCAGCTAGGCAAATTTTAACATGCTCCCTCTTACCCCAGCTTTTTACATGTCACGTAAGAAGGTAAGAGTTAATCAGACCACCAATTAATGAGATCAACGGGTCAGATCTATTATATGCTCTTACCTCTCATGTGAAAAAAGGAGATAAGGGGGAGCATGTTAAAACTGCTCAACTACCAACTAACAACTGCATAACAGGACTTCACTTTCTCCCTTGTTAATCATGCTTCCAATTCAGTGCCTACTGATTCACATTGTCTAATATGCATGTACCATTTTTTGTTTATAATAATCATGCTCTGGTTAAATAGTAAAGAGCATAGACCAACATTTCCTATAAGATTCTCCAAACAAAATATATATTAGAGAGCTACTTAGCGCCTACCTTTTCAATACCAATTACTGCCAGTAAATAACCCTATTGTGGATATTTGGGTAACTTCAGAATTATTATTTTCTTTGCTTTCTTGCACTCAGAGAAAAAACGACCACACCCTACACAACTTCTGGGAGCCAAGGTCGTTTCAGCCTTTTGTCATCTCTATCTCAAGGTTGCTTATTATGTGGAACTTCCTACAATCTTTTCTTTTTTTTGTTCACTGCTTCATTGCTGCTCTAGCAATTAGTTTGTACAATTCCTTTTCTAAATGGAAGTACCTACAAATCTAAGTGAACTTGTGCCTTCTCCATGTCATTTATCGTATTTTATTTTGGAAGGTTGCTAATTATATACTCCGTCTATTTTTTTTCTTTTTTCTTTCATACTTGATTGTTTTCTTGAGGCCACAAGGGATTTTCCATGTTTCTAAGGTTCTAATGGCTGAGATTTAAGTATAGAGTGGCATGCCATGCGTTATCAGTATAAAACTTAGGCCCCTGGAACTTCCCATTTCTAGCATCATTGCTATCTTACATAAAGCTGACAATTTTATCATGAGATTTTCCTTGGTCCTTAGATAGTGTGGTCTGGTCACATGAATTTCTACAGATTTCAATCCTGATATTAAAGCAACTCAAATGTTTGCATACATCGTGCTGATCGGACATCATCCGTGCTAATTAATTCTCTAAAAGGACAGTTGATTGTTCCACGAAGCCGAGCTGTTATGGATTTGGCGCATTGTATATCATCCATGCTAATGAATTCTCTAAAAAGACAGTTGATTGTTCCAGGAAGCTGTGTTAAAGTTGCACATGTGGTCTTCTTGAGTGTTTCCCAGTATATATGTAGTATGAAAACTGACCGGTAGTGATTAAATAAATGGGGTCTTGAAACAGCCTCATTGTTGGCATCATCTTCTATTTGTTAGCGAAGAACAATCCTTTTTTTAGCTAACCTCAGGTCTAAGAAAAGAACTAGAGCTTTGCAATTTTGTATCCAGTAGCCACTATCATCACGTACTGTAGATCACTTATGCATATACCGCCTAGACTAGATGCACCCTTTTCCCACCTACTGTAGATCACTTATGCATACACCCTTTTCTTATATGAACTACTTTGTCGTGAATTAAGCCTTGAGACGACTTACCAAAAATTACCAAAAAAACAAATAACTAATTTGCCGTGAATTAAGCCTTGAGACGACTTACCAAAAATTACCAAAAAAAAAAAATAACTAATTTGTCGTGAATTAAGCCTTGAGACGACTTACCAAAAATTACAAAAATAAATAAATAACTTATCAATCCATGTGGCGCGGCGTGCCGCCGCGCACTACACGCTAGTTTATCCTAATCTCTCAACAGCCTAGAACCTAACATGTCCCACCGAGGCACAACCATTCAGCCAACTACGAACAGATAATACGCATGAAAGTAGACCATGAAGGCAGAGGGGGAGAAAACAATACAAGACTCAGTGACTCACCCCATCATCAATATCTGGGTTAGCGCCAGCATCTAGTAAGCATTTCAGGGTATCAGATAAGCCATTGCCCGCTGCTATCATCAAGTAAGTAACACCAGTATAGTCAATTTTATTCACATCAGCGCCAGCCTGTGTAAATAAATTTTAGTTTCATCTGAGTAAGTGCTTGAGATGTCAACTGCAGAAAATGTAGACTACACTAAAGGAAGCTCCATAAACGAGAAAGATTACTGACCTTAATGAGTAGCTTCACACATTCCAGTGATTCAGAAATCATGGCCAGCCTTAACGGGGTACTATCAAGGCGGAAAACCTTATTGGGCTGTGGAAAGTAGAAAAACCAATTTATTCACTTGCAAAAAAAGGAGTAATGGGGAAATAAAATAAGCACATTGTGTGTGTGTGTGTGTGTGTGTGTGTTACACATATTGGCATTTCTCAACGCACAGAAGCATACATTTTTTTGATTTAATTATAAAAATTAGACAAACATTTAGAGCACCTGTGAGAAAATAAGCATGTTTCATTTCAGGAGAATTATTTATGGTCAAACGACAAACATTGTATATATGTTTTGCTTTGTGCCAACATAAACAAACTCTTACGGTTCAGATGATTGAGCCCAAGTACTAACAGACAACAGTATTTCCACTTCTCATTACATTGCATGCATGATAGTTATGAACTGGAGATAAAGCCGCTTAGGGCCTTAAGAAACCAACCAGGATTTACTTTTGCACAGCCCAGAAGAGAAGGAAGAAAGTGGTGACTTACATCTGCATGATGCTGCAACAAAATATTCATCGAGCCATCTTGACCATTAGTAGCGGCAACATGCAATGCGGTCCCATACACAGAATCGAAATGATCCACATCAATTCCAGTTGAAAGCAGCAATTCCACTATCTCACATTGTCCTAGAATACAAGTTTGTAGAAAAAATCAGCAAGATAAGCTTATTTTTGCAAAAAGAAAAAAATGTAGACACTTGCAAATGTTTTTTTGAATTGTACACTTGCAAATGTGATAACCGCCAGTTACCAATGATCATGTCCAGGACCAAGTTTAGAATATTTGACTTCTAGCTAGTTGTTTTTCTATCTAAATATAGGCAGTAGCTAGCAAAAATCATCGATTTGTGAGCAAACAAGAATAGAATTAACACTTGAGAGTGACACGATGTTTTCTCTCCCGAAAATCGATCTGTGAGCAAACAAGACTAGAATTAATTAACACCAATTTACTTTACATTCCAATCCTCAAAGTTGCCGTACAGAAACTCATTGTTTCTACTTGTTCCACCGTCCAAATCACATATGTCTGAACTTGGTGAATACTAGATGTCAATAAAAACATATGGCAGGATGGAAGTTGAACAGGCTGCACGCGTGTGGGAGAGGCGAGGGGATACCAAAAATTGCAGCAGCATGAAGAGGTGGCCACAGGGCACCAGCTAAAGTTGGATCAGCACCACGATCCAGAAGATATCTGGTGGTAGCAGGCGTCCCATAAGTCGCAGAAATGGCCAGAGGAGTGTCACCTGCAACAAAACAAAAGAACCAAATTAACCTGGGATTACTGAGATGTGATGTGCACTTGTGCGTCTAGCCTGGGAGGTGCAGCAGAATTGAGGCGAAGAGATCCAAAGGGAACCGGACTAATTAACCTGTGAAGGTGCGCTGGTTGACATCGACGCCGTGGTCCTCGACGAGGCACCTACAGATGTCCAGCCGCCCTTCCATGACCGCCACAGTCAGCGCGCGCGCCCTGATGCCGACGTCCGCCGCCACGACGCCCGCCATCTCTGCGCACACGATCCAGCCAAATTACCATCACGAAGGAAGGAACCCTAAGGGTAGGGGCAGGAGCAATAGGAGGCAGCGGGCTGCTTGTTGTTGCTAGTACCTTTGAGGAGGCGGAGGTCGCCGTCGAGAACGGCCTGCAGGAGCGGGTGGCGAGGCTCCGTCGAAACCCCATCCATGGCGATGGCGGCACGGCAAGCGGAGAAGACGGCGGGTCAGCAGCACCCGAGACACTGACTCCAGTCAGGAGAGAGCAGTCGCAGTCGCAGTGGCAGTCGCAGTCACGGTGGAGAAGTGCCGCAGATGGAGAGTGGCTTTTAATTTGTACACCCCTCTGCCAGGCCTCCTTTTGGTTTGGAGAAATCTTATAGGATTTTTTCCTTTAAAGACCTTTTGATTCATAGAAATGTATTCCTATTCTTACATAGGATTGGCTCATATCCTCCACATTTCATAGAAAAATAAAAAAGAGTCTAGACTCAATGAAAAAATTCCTCTGGTGTCAACCAAATGACATCTTGTTTCCTATTCCTACTCATAAGATTTGATATACATGTCATCTCATTTCCTACAAGATTCCTATTTCTATGATAATCCTATCCTATGAACCAAAAGAGGCCTGATTTCTTTTGCTGTTCCTTTCCCCTGTAAAGTTAAAAAAAATTAAGGTCAAAAGAAACACTCCTCCACTGTTTAATGCACCCGCACTGGGTAGCGTTGTCGGAACGCGCTTTTTCAAGGAAAGCCTGTCATGGTGGGGACCAGCACGCGGAAGGCGCGGGGAGGCGTCGTCGTACGTGGGCGAGGTGGGGTGCCCATGCAAGCACCAATGGCAACACTTGACTACACACGTGGGACGTGATGAAGAGGCAGGATCCATCGGCGCAACATGCTTTTAGCTTTTCCTTTTCCCGTGTAATGTTTTAAAAAATAAAAGTTAAAAGAAAACGCTCCTTCACTGCCGCACTGGGTAGGGTTGTTGGGACGCGCTTTTTCCGGGAACGCTCCTCATGGTGGAGTCCAGGCATGAGG